TTTTTCCTTTTACATTTTTGAATGCCGTCCATCCAGACATGATTTCAGTCACATGCAGTGATACAAACATTACAACAGATTAAATTTAGCTTTGATGTTTTAAAAAAATGCATTTACAGTGAAGAATAAGTTTGTTTATCATGAAATTATTTCAGCTGGGAAACCATCTGAAAACCATATTGGTGCTTTTACGAGGTGTTGGGGAAAGTCAGACTACTGAGATTTGAGTAAATCTTTGAGCCTCACATTGTAATTCAGAAACTGGGTTATTCAGAAAATTTAAAGCTGAGACTAACAAAACAGTCATGGACATCACACAAAAGGATAATCGTAACTATGGTTTCATCTTTTCAACGCGGCAAACACAAAACCCCAATCTTCTCTCCTATTAATAATGCAGTGCAGTGAGTGTTCCACCATTGGTGAGTGTGAAATGTGTCGCTGTATAATGCCCTCAAACTTCCCAGAATGGCAAAAAAAAAAAAAAACCTTAGAAAGTGGGCATGAATGAATAAAAATAAGAGGATCACTTCATTACTTCTAGTGCACTCGGTGTCAAGTCAGGACCCATCCTGAGAGGTGCATTGTGGTGCTTTATTGTTATTGGCGGAGTGAGTATGTTACACTCACACTCACCTGGACCGTTCAGGTAAAGGGGCGACAAGCAGCTCAGGTACAGCCACGTCCTATTCTCCTGCAGCCAGCGCTGCCGATAACCAATCATATCAGGAGAACAGGCTGACTGTATCCTCCTTTCCTCTTTAGGGGGCAGGGCTAAATGAGTCTGGCTTACTAGGTTGGGAGATGATAGAGCACACAGGTTTTGTGGGATTTAGTAACATGCTGTTTTGCAGGAAGTGTTACTGCCCCATCACAAACCAGGATTTTTTTTTCTATAATTACTTGTTTTGTACTAAACTCTGTAATCAGCAGCAGCACAACATTTTGCCTGGAAATGTACACAGAAAAACACTTCCTGGAAAACAAGGGACCAAATAAGGAGACATACATCTAATGCTGGGATCAGACTACACAATATTCTTGTCTTTTCTTGCCATGTTTACGGTCAACAGAAAGGTGGTCTGTTCTCCTATGGGGCAATCTTAGTGAGCATAATGTAGAAGCTGTCAGACTAGGAAGGATAAGCCAAAAAAAAATAAAAAATCTAAAATGCTAGGACAATGTGAGGCGCCTATGGCTTGGTAATCTTCCACTATGATGCTAAAAAGGGGTAAAACTAGACTGCACTCTTTCATTTGGGCAACTAACAGGCCAATATTGTGTGGTCTGATCTCAGCATAAGAGCTATAAAACATAAACCCAGTGCCATGTAACATCTCCCAATGTGATATTACTACTATTCCAAGAAGTTGACAGAGTGGGATGCTACCATCACCAGTTTTATTTTCTAACCTAACTGCACACTCCTCAGGGTACTGCCTTGTGCAACCAATCACTGATAAAATATTATAAACACAAGTTTAACAAAGCGTGAAATAAATTTGTGACAGCTTTTTAAAATTCCCATGGTGCCTTCTATTCCATCTTTTGTATTTAAATTCACCCATTTCACCTTAGTTATACTTAAGGTCCAGTGTGTAACATTTAGGAAGATCTATTGGCAGAAATAGAAAAATATTCATTCTAAGCCTTAGAATGAGCCATTTTTATTCTACAAAGGAGCAGCCACCGTGTTGAACCACCATGTTTCTACAGTAGCCTTGAACAGACAAACCAAACACTGGCACTTTAGCCTTTCTTCTTCTTTCTCCTACATCCATGGAACGGGAGGGTGAGACAAAGGGGTTGTGCTCTCCAACTACACCGCTAGATGCCACTAAATCCTACACACTGGTCCCTTTAATGCTGCTCACCTTGCCGGGCTCCCGCCAACCGCTGCTGGACTTTCTCTAGATGGTGGATATATTCTGTCAGGGATCGTTCTGGATCCTGAGATGTTCCTCCTGTATGCCCCGAGGCCGGACTGGTGCTGGAGAACGACCTGAGGAGGAAGAATGCTCATAGATGAAAAATGACTTAAAATATTTGTGAAGTCCATTTCACAATCTAAAGTTGATTAGTCTTTGCTGAAGAGGACCACAAACCTGTTGTGCAACCTGAAAGGTGATTTGGTGGGTGGAACGAGGGCGGACACTGTGTCTCTGTGAACAGCACTGCTGTCTCTATATGGTGGCGAGTCAGTATTTAATCTCGGCTGTTGTTGCCTTAAAACTTCAGCTTTAGGTCCTGTAAGAGACATTAAGATTACAATCCTCATACACACGGTCAAGTGACGCACATGATTATAAAATGTGTTCACTGAGCTGACCTGCAGCATGCCCATTAACAGTCCCAGATACAGATAATCGTCTGATTGCTTTTTGCCATTTCCTGGTCAGGAACCTCATTCTGAAAAATAAAATAAAAACGGATCAGTTTTATCCATACACGAGGCTGAGGCAACTCGTAAATATTTACATCCTGTTATTCTTCCTACCTTGAGACAGCAATGACAACTCGTACAGCAGCTCTAAATCGTCCGAGGGGTCTGCGCTGGGAGGAGAGTGGGGGAGACGGACGTACCCCCATATGGGCGATGAGACACAGTGTGGCCTGCTCGCACTCCTGGAAACCTCCCAACAGCAGCAGCAGATAACGTTTCTGGTACACTAGAGCTTTCCTGAAGCTCTCAGCCCGCAGGTAGCGCTCATACAAACGCTGCACCTGCAAACCAAATCAACGGAGGTTGTAATTGTTCTGTTGCTGTATTACAGCATAACCGTAGATGTTTGAGATTCTCTAGTGACATCCTACATCAGAGGTATGCACAAGATATTAAAAAGGGACTGCAAGAAAAGTGTTACACAACCAGAATGAAATAATATAGCCACTTGGACAAATCATTATACCCACTGTCAGGTCAAGTTTGAACATATAGCGCCATGTTTCCCGCAGTTTGATCATTTGTTTTAGGTGGTCTAAGCTCTGAATTCAACACTTGTAAATGCAATGCTTTTGCAGCAGACTCACAAGGTAATTTCTGTTCAGGGGAGTTACTTATACAACCAATTACAAATTAATCCACCATGCCAGCTGGTATTTAATCAACATTTCAACATGTATTAGTAAGACAAGCACAGCTGTAATTAACATTAATTATGTTCTCCACTTCTAGAGCACTGCTATTATGCATGTTTTGACATGGCCTACTGGGACACTAAAACAGAATGGAGCCATCATTCATGTTATTAATTACAAATGTGCTTCTCCTGCTGCGACAAGTCAAAAGAAGAAAAGTCTACAGAGCTGTACTTTTTACTGCATACACATGCATCATTCTGAAAAATTAATCAAAGGCACCAGGATGGAGTCTATCAAAATCAAGACAGAAAAGTACAAAAACACTATCGCAATTAATCTTGTAAAAACTGCTCCCATTGTTTAGATCATAACTAACCTTGCTGTTGCTGATCACGTCACTGATGGGTCTGTTTTCAGTTTCTGTGGCGACCTTGGCAAGCTCATTCTCTGTGCGCCGCAGCTGGCGCTCCAGGCCCGTGAGTCTATGTCTAAGGGTGGCTCTCTCCTGACTTAGTGATGTCACACGCTCCGTCAGCTCCGAGTTCTCCTTCAACAACCTTTCCAGCAGATTGGGTGACGACGGCATGGACGGCATCTGCAGTGAGAACAGAACATTCATTTTACAACAGTCCAGTAAGTTTACATTCCTATATTCCCATCTTTACATGGGTCCAAAGTTCCATTAGTATTGCAATCAGTGTAGAGACCACTTGTGTACCTGCTGGCTTTGCTGTGTGCTGCCTGTCTGGAAGTTGCTGTGGAGATGCTGCGGGGATTCAGCCTTGTGTTGCTGCCCTGTAGTTCGTCCAGACAGCCTCTGAGCAGCCATCTCTCTCTCCTCTCTTTCCAGGTCGGCCAGAGTACGCTGCAGCTCTTGCATGCGCTGCTGGTCCTGTTGCCTCAACAACTCCAACTCACACTAAAGTCAGAAATGATTATAAGGTTATGAGATTGTAAGGTGTGTTTGTATGCATCCAAAATAATTAGCTTACTATATGTAAAAATAAGAGCATTTAATTTGTGTAAGTAGCAAATATAATTAAGTATGAGAACTAGGTTGATATTTACCAGTTTGCTATTGGTCCTCTCCTGTCGTCTCTCCCTCTCCATCTGCTCTTGCCTCCCATTCCTCCTCTCTCTCTCCCATTGCTCCTCCCTCTCCCTCTCTTTGTCCTTCAGCAGTCGCAGTCTCTCCTTCAGCTCAGCCAGCTCCACCCCATGGCATCTGGACCGCTCTCGCTCCACCTCTAAAGCACGGGTGGCTTCCTGTTTCTGCTCCTTCAAAGTCTCCATAGCTACACGATGTCGGGTGGCGGCCTCCTGCATCCTCTGCAGCTCCTCCCTCCTAGTTCTGTCCTCCTCTTCCCATTTCCTTTTGCTTTGCAGTAGCTCAGCCCTAAGTTTGTCCATCACAGATGCCAGCTCCTCCCCCTGCCTTCTCTCCTGCTCTAGCTGGGCGCGCATGTCGGAGATGAACTTCCTTTCTCTGTCTGCATCCGCCTTGTGTCTACGGCTGAGTTCATCCACCTGCCTGGAGTAACGGTCCCTCTCTTCATCAAGCTTCCTGTGAGCGTCTGCGAGCTTAGAGTGAATTTCTGCCGTGCGAGATTCTCCTTCAGTCAGGAGGCGCTCAAGACGAGTCTTTTCTTGCAAGCTGACTTCTCGTTGGTGAACGGAAAGTTGGCGTTCATCTTCTAGCTCCTTCTGGGTGTCGTCTAGACGTTTCTCCAGCAGCACACTGCGGGACTGTTCAATCTGAAGCTCCTGTCTGAGGTTGCTGCAGGCCACCCTCTCCTGCTCCACCTGACCCTTCAGAGTCATGACCTCTGACCTCTGCTGCTCAGAAGATACTTGCACAGCCTGGAGAGGGAAGAGGAAGATAATCTGTTAGTTTAAAAAGGGAAAGCAAGTATACTCTGGTTACATGCTCTGGATTCTTCACATTTTAGAGGCATCATGTACTTTTGATGCTGGCCCCCGGCTATTATTTGACCATTTGAATACTGTCTTTTACACAAGAAATTGGGTTTTATTAAGTATGCATATTTTTAATTACTCGTCTTACCCCTCTCCTTTCCTCCTCCTCTCGGTCCTTACGGAGACTCAGAGCTCTCTCCTGCTCCAGTTGTTGTTGAAGCTCCTGGACTCTGGTCTGCTCCCTCCTCAAGGCCTCCTCACATTCTTCTAGAGCCAACCTGAAGAAAAGCACAGTTCTAACCTTACTTTTCAGCACTTTTTGGTTGTATCACATGAAATCACGTTTGTCTTTTAGTTCATACTAGGGCCACCAATACATAAAACCATGCAAATAACCGATGATTATTTTACATCTTTCCAAGCACTCATTGGCTGACATGAGGTTTTTTTTAAAAGCGAACTAGTCAAAATATACAAAATACTTTAAAATTATATTTGAAATGAAGATCAAAAGAAAATCCATGAAATGCACAATTTTAGTATACAACAATAATAAAAAAAACTTACTGATTTTACCAAATATATTTGATAATATAGAGTATAATATGTCAACTTATGGAGAAGGTTTGCTCGAATGCCATTATTCGGTGTGTGTATACCTGAGTGACTGTATTTTGTTCTTTTGCTCTTGCTGAGTGTCGAAAGCACATTTCAGTTGTTTCTGGCTCTCATCCAGCTCTGCCCTCAGTTGGAACTCAAACTGTCCACAGAGTTGATCTCTGTGCCAGTCATCATCACCTCTGTAGTCAGTCTGAAGAAGAAAGAAGAAAGTTATCAGCACAGACAGTCAACAGAACCAAAAGACAACTATATTAAATACGTTGAATCTCTCTCTCATCTTACACCTAAATTAAAAACTCAAGTGAAGGAACTCAAATTTATGTGTACAAAGACTGGCCATATCATAGTGTGAAGCCACTAACTTGATTTAAAACCACAAAAACTCACTTGAGTATGTCTCTGTGCCATTCGACAGAGCAGCTCTCGGAGAGCAATCACAGTCTCCTGCAGTGCCCTCTTCTCCTGCTCCCAGCTCATGGGGGGGTTGGAGGATGATTTGTCCCGGTGGTCCAGTAGGGTGGAGCTATCTTCAGAACGGTGCTGTGTGTGACTCAATGAGAAGGCTTTTAAGTCTGAGACATGAGGATGGGTTGAGGAAGTAAAACGACGCTGGGACAAAGTGAGAATTCTGCAGCTTTCTTGATACACTTTCTTCAACAGAGCCTGCGGGAAGATGGAGGAAGAAACTGCAGTAAATATATTTATTTGACAGACAGCAAGCCTAAATTTATAGTATAATTAAGTATAAGTGAAGCCTACCTGAAGCTCAGGTGACAACAGGTCATCACTGTAGCTCATACTGCCTGCAGCACTATCTGTGTTAACTGTAGGGTTAATTCCTCTGCAGCGGAGATACTCAACAAACTGAGCATCCAGCCTTTCAGTCTGTTCCAGCTCCACTTTCAACCTCGCACCCAATTCTGAACTCACATCTGAAACACAAGAAGAGAACACAAGAGTTAAGCAGACAAGTCTGGTGATATTCCATAACAAACTTCATAAACAAAACACCACCCAAGTATTGTCTGTGTAGCCAAAGTCAGCTATGACTTAGATCTTGAAGATTTTTCAACTTCTTTAAAATCAAGAAGTATATATTTGTGAGCAGTTTTTACAGGTTTATGTCTTTATACCATGACCTGGTTGACTGAAAATCTTCATACAACCATCAGGTTCAGTGTGTAAAATACTCACTGCTGCCATATCCATCACTGGCCCATTCTGGTGCCGACAAAGAGGAGGTGGAGCCGAGAGGAGAAGGAGGCGCTGTTAGGTCAAGTTCTTCCAACTCACGTACCTAAGAAAGAAAATTATAATTTTGACAGATATTTAACCACATGTGAAACAAAATACAAATGCCCCAAAAGGTAGCACGTATGGACATACTAGACCACATACTTTGTCAGTGTCCAGTGAGTCGAGCATAGAGAAGTTGTCAGACATGGAGCCTGGGGAGTGGGTACTGTGTGTGGCTGGATCTGGTGTGATGGTCCTGGAGTGTGGAGGCTCCATCACCACCCTGGGAGAGGTCTTGACCTGGAGGAGATCCAGGTCCGTGCTGTTCAGAGCACTGATCTCAGACAGACGAGAGCCGAGAACAGAGGCGTGGAACCGTTCTGGGATTCTGTCTTCGGAGCATTCGAGTCTCCTTAAAACCTCTGGAGAGCTCAGTGATGCTTCTTCTCGAGAGACGCTTACAATGTCCTCAAAAGCTCTGTGAGAAATATCTGACAAATAAAATAAATATTGTTATTAGGAGAACATATTCCTGTTGTGATGCCATTGTTACACGTTTTAAAAAGGTTCCCTGGAGTTTTAGACTCCAGTAGTGCTATGGAGCTGCTGTTTATAAGTGGGTCCCTGCTTTGTTTATCTATTGCACAAGACTGGCCAATTACTTGGGTATTTTTCAATATATGTGGACATTTTATAGACCATTAAAAATTACAATATGACGTATGCAAACACCTTGGTTTATGCAAAAAAAGTTCAAAGATATTTAATTTACAATAACAAACAATAGCAGCATATTCTTACATTTGAGAAACTGGAAAGAGCACGTTTGGCATTTATGCTTGATAAGTGACCTTTGTTTAAAAGACTTAAAATAGTTTTTAAAATAATTTTCTACTTTCTTTCTTAAATAGATTACTTGAAAGCAACACAGTTGTACTACTATTACACATTACATTGATTTTAGTCCTGAAAGTCACTACTAGACAAACATCATTACATTCTTGGTGCAATAAAAACGCAGGGAGACGGGTCAAATAAACGTAATTACGTGTATGTTTGAAGCATTATTAAAGTACTCACCCTTGTTGGTGTATCCTTGTTGGTGAGGAAGCGTGTCCTGCTGTTGACAGTGTTGTCTGAGTTGCTGTAGTTCTCTTTGCCGATAGGCCAGTTCCTCTTCCTGTACAGCCAAATCTTCTTGTAAACCTTGAAGCTGCTCTTTCAGCCTCTGGTTATCAGTCTCCAGGTCTACGAGGGCAAGGTCTTTGGTCTGACAAGACAGAAATAAGGGCCATTTAAAATACAGCTGTCAATCTTCTACTCCCATCCTGCCAGTTTCAAATCTCACAACAGACAGTTGATCCACACAGAAAAATGTACCAACAGATTTATTCTTAACTTATATCTATATTCTGTACTCTGTAATTGGTCATGTTTTCCCACCTGTCCTTCCTCATGTAGTTTCTCAGCTCTTTCTGTACTGGAACTTAAACCCTGTTTCACCGCAGTCAGCTCCGCCCTCAGAGCCTGATGCTCGGTACTCAGTCTGGCAAGCTCAGCCTCCTTCTGTCTCAAGGCAGCGTCTGCTTTAGCCAGGGTCACCTCAGCATGAGTCTGAGAAAAAGAAAAAGATTCTAAGCAGCTAGAATCAACATACTGCCTTTCTTAAGTCTACATTTTAGCCTTATTTTGTTTGTAGTTTGCCATTTTTCCTGGGGAAAAAAGAGGACTGTTTACACAAGACAAATGAACAAAAGATAACTTGCTTTGCAATGCAGTGATTTAACGAGTACCACATGTACATGCTGTGTTTTCTAATACACTGTTTTATGTCTACTGCAAGATACCTCTTGAGGAAAGTACAACAACGGCTACAACTCTTCAAAACTATAAACTCATCAAAAACTGATCAAACTGCAGAGACATGCAGCAGCCCAACAAATGCACTACAGCCTCTGCTTTCTTCGTAACAACCACAACTTCACCTTACCACATCCTGCCGAGATAGGACATAAAGAAATGAAAAATAAAGTGCATCAGAGCTTTAAAAACAACATTTAACAAGGTTTTTCCTCCTGCTTCCTCGTTTTAATGTCACTTCCTCTGTGTTAGTAAGAATCTGCCGTTTCATGAGTGACGCTGTGATCACGTGTTATGGCAGTTAACTACAACCAGATGTGGTCTTGCCTGCAGTCGCTAGCACAGCTGTAAGCTAGAAAAAAAAAAAGAGGCAGCAAGGTATTTCCTGTCTGGACATGGAGCCTGTTGAAGCAGGTTTATTTAAGTTAGCTGAATTATTTTCTTGACTTAAAAACCCAGACTGCCATCAAACCTGGTGCACAGGCGGTTTGTTCCAGTTCTTCTGACCAGATTAAAGATCAGTACTTTTTTGACCATATAAACTCTAAGTAATGTATATTCAGAGACATAATTGCAGTTTAAAAGACAGTCACTGAAAATAAAGGTCTGTTTTACTACAGTATTTATAATTAAATGATATAATCACGTTACACAACACAAAAACATTTTAACACAATCAAAATCTTAGTTGAATAATTCGTACCTTAGATTTGATTATTTTCTAGCTATTTATTCCCTTTATTAAAAGGCATCATTCAATTGGGAGGTTGCAATCCTGCGTTTGAAATTTTGGTTTAAATTTGCATCTTGGTTTATGCTTTAACAACGACAACAGTTTATCTTGTAGCGGTAACTCACCAGCACTTCCTTGTGAGCCTCTTCTTGGCTGGTTTCCTTCTCATTAAGCTGAGCTGTCAGGTCCTGGATACAAGCTCTCATTGAAGTCACTTCCTGTCTGAGCCTTTTAATATCCTCCTGGAGTTTCGCCTCCCTTCTCCTCAGCGCCTCCCGTTCAGCAGAAAGTTCTCCCTTTGCAGTCTCAAGGTTTTTGATCTTTGTTCTTTCCTCAGCAACCAGTTCCTCCATTTCTACCACCTCGGCTCGCACCTCCTGGATTTGTCTCTCAAGAGTGAGACTGGTTTCTCTGAGGACTTCCATTTCTGTTTTCATCTCCTGCTCCTTTGTTTTTAGAGTCTGGATCTCACTCACACGCTCCTGTTCTTTCTTTTGGAGTTCCGTGATCAGAGAGTTGAGTTGGCCGTTCTTCTCGTGTAGGGCGCTCATCTCTTCGGGTTGAATTTTGCAGCTGTCCCTCTCCTCTTCAGATAGCTTCCTCTTCTCTCTCTCCACTTCTATCTGGGCTTTGATTTCCTCCAGCTCAGCTTCTTTGATGGTGAGGAGACCCTGGAGTTCATCTGCCTTCTCCCTCTCAGCCTTCAGCCTCTTTCCGAACTCCTCACCATGTCCTCTGTACTCTTCCTCCTGGGTGAGCAGTAATCGCTCCAGTCCTTCTTTCTCAGCCACCGCAGTCTCCAGCTGACTCTGAAGGGCCTTCAGACGAGATCGAAGGGAACGAGACGAGGCAGAATGAGTCAAACTGAGCTCTTGCTTCAGGCTGTTCGGGCCTCCCTTACGCTCTTGTTCCTGGATGGTATAGTGGTGAGGTTCGGGGCTGGGGGCCGGTGAGGGATTGATGCTGTCGCCATCCTGAGAGTCACTGACTTCATGCAGGTTGGGGCCCAATGTAGCGAGTTCCGCCTGCAGTGTGCTGATGACCTCATGAAGGCGCTCCTCCTCTTCCTGTTTGTCCTCACGCACTCTCATAATCTCAGACTGAAGGTGTTCCACCTGTGAGCGCAGGTCCTCAAGCTCAGCCTCCAAAACCTTTTTTTGTCAAAAAGTTCAAAATAATCAATTAGATATTTCATCACAGCCATATCAACTTTGGGAACTTCCACATGGTCTGCATGTGTGCTTATTCTGACCTTATTGTCCCTGGTGTTCTCCAGCTCTTGTTCCAGTGTTTGGATCTCATTGTTGAGGTGGTCGATCTCCTGATTTTTCTCCTGGAGTAATGCTGCGGGGAGGGTCTCTTCCTCTGTGTCCTCCAACTCACTTTGTTCCTCTTTCTCCTCCTTCAGTATGGTGAGAGCAGAGACATTCTCCTGCAAGCAGAGTTGTACATAACAGTTCAATTAGGTTTCTTTTTTTCCCCCCTCATTTTTTATTGATTTTTTAAGGAGACAATGACTATAACAAACAAAATCAAATGAGGAATCATTTCATATCAAATTATAAATACGCCATCAGAAGCTAAACACAGCAGACTTAAATGTCTGAGGGATTACACTTAAATAATCTATTTTGTCCACTTCTTAACAAATGCTTCTGATTTTTAGGTAATTCTCTCCTCAACATAAATATTGTTTGTCAGTGTGTCCATTTGTCATTACTAGGTCTTCTTCAGCCATATCTTAAGGATATCTTTCCAATAGTAGTCAGTAAGTTTGTCTCCTTCCATTCTAGTTCTGCCCACTTAGATTAGGCCAAAACTGGAAAAACAAAATTGTGCTCATGAGGTCTCCAAATGGTCTGATTTGAAAAAAATATCTTTTGGGCAAATAGAACAAACAGCATAATTCTATCCAAGAAGGAGAGTTTGTTGTTTTTCATTGATGTACAAATATAAATTTCACTTACAAAAGCAGCTAAATAAAACAGATGATAACCTGGTATGAAGATGAAGTAGCACTTACCTTTAGGGCAGCAATCTGTTCTTGGAGCTCGTTAACATTAGCTGTATTCTGATTGGTCAGTAGCTCTAGCTGTAAGGTGAGGTGTTTTAGTTCAACCTCTTTGATGTTCAAGTCCCTCTGCACATTGTCTAGTTGGCCAAGCAGGACCTCAACCTGAAAGACATAATTTTACCCATTAAATAAAGACAAAAATATCTTATATAATTGCATACATAGTTTTCTTTAGTGGGTTAAAAATATTAAGCTTTCAGAGATTTATTATGCGCGGCTTTTAAAAAGGTTGATCAAGCTGTGGTGGTTGTTTGATGCATTTGCCTGCATCGCCACCTTTCGTCTGTATACCTGTACACATTTCTACCAAAAGGGTGGCGATGCAGGCAAATGCATCAAACAACCACAGCTCGTCAGCCCAAATCATCTTAGCAACCATACATCAGTTTTGCATAAAATCCTACAGACCTCTTGCTCTTTGCTGTGTAGGCCCTGCTGAGCGGTGTCCAGGGCATCCCTAAGCTCCTGAGTGGGGTCACGCGCGTTGTCATGGTAACAGTGTCTCGTCTCATCCAGTTTGGACTGCAAGGCAGAGATCTGAAGCCTGTTAGCGAGCTGCTGCTGCTCCAGTGCCTGCTTATCCTGCCAAAAGTGAGTACATTTATGAGATTAACAACGTTCGACATGCACAAAGGTATGAGAGTGATTTCAAGTTTATATCCCGGACAGTGTTAATTGTGGTATTTCTTACTTGTGTGAGCTCCTGTTCTCTCAACTTTGCTCTGTGGAGCTCTTGTTCCAGTTGACTCATAGATCTATTACTCTCAGTGCTGTTAAGCAGCGCTTGCTCTAGCTCTCGGATTCGCCCGGCTAGCTTGTCTATCTCCTCATTGCGTTCTGCAAGGTCGCGCTGGGCTTGCTGATTGGCTGTGAACAAGGAGGCATGGTCCTCTGTTTTGTCTTTGATCATAGCTTGTAGACTCTCCACCTGCACAAACACAGAGGGGACAACATTTTGTGATAAGTTTTTAGTTTAGTTTAATTTTAAGTAGCAGAAAGGGATTTGCAAATGGAAAACTACATGATTCGTAAAAAAAAAAAAAGTAGCCATTCCAGGTCTGCAGCCACTGGTACCACACATTTAATAAGTTAAGCCATTCCAGAGAGCAGCGACATGTAGATGAAAGACAAATGAAGCGTGAACAGAAGCAAATGAATATTAGAAAACAAGACGATGAAATGGGAATAAATATAGAACTTATGAGAAACACATTTAAGCACTAAGAATTAATCTACGGATGATTGCACGGAAATAATGATGTAAAATACACACCATGCAGAAGAGTAGAGAAGAGAAGTATGCTACAGTTAGAATTCATACCTGAAGAACCAAGTCCTCAAACTACAGCAATCCGTTCGGCACAGGGATAAACACATGGCAAAAGTCAGGCTCATTGGCAAACAAGCAAACAATGCATTCATCACTTCAACCTCTGTGAGTACTAACACATACACTTCAGTTAACTGGTTCTTAATCCCATCAGCAATGCATTAAACACTCATCACAAAAAAAAAAAACACATCAAAAGCACACAAACTGGAAATCCAATGCACTTTTACCACCTTTATCTAGAAGTAGGAGCCTGTTGAGAAGTACTGTCTCATTATACGTTACTGCTTGCTATCAAATGAATAGGTCTCACCCTGTGTCCTTTGTTATCCACACTGGCTGTCTGTCTGAGTTGGGCCTCCAGCCTTCGGATCTCCTGCTGGAACTCGTCTCTCTCGTGTTCACGCTCTACAGCCTGCTCCTGTTTGCATCGGAACAAATTACGTGAAAGATTGCGTCCACTACATTAAGCTACAGAAATTGTCTGACACTCTCAAATAACGCCAGAACTAAAGTCAAGTGAGAATACAAAATCATTAAATCCTTTTGTAAAAACGTACCTCTATAAACTGCCGGTCATGTTTCAGCTGTTTCTCAAGTGCTTGGACACGCTGGTTGAGGTCTTCGGTGTGGGTCTTGTGGTGCTGCTCTGTCTCCAGGCCCTTTGTTTCCTGCTCGTCTAGCTCTCTCTCCAGGGCCCTGAGGCGCAGGGATAGAGAGCTGCGGTCTTTCTCAGCCTGCCGCTGCAAGTCCAGCCTATCCTGAGTCAAACGCTCCGTCTCCGCCAGCAGAGCTTGAAAAATAAAGGAGAAATGGCACGGCAATTATTCCGATGCCAATACACACAGAAGAAGAAAAAAATAAACAAGAAATAAGATATACATTTAGATGTATAGTTATTATACACACTGCATTTCCTCCTGAAAAAGACACTGAAACACAGCAAGCAAGGGCCTTTGCTACAATCTACTGGCAATAGTAGTGTTACGAACAGCAACCTCACACAGCACTGCAAATATACTGCATATTCATCCCCAGCCCCTCATCACACACACACTCATACTCCACTCTGACCCACAAACCTGTATCAGGATCTAAACTGAGCCAATGGCCTACGGAGAAAAGACACATCTGAGCACAGACATTATGTAAGTGTGTGTCCAAGCTCACTAAAGAGGTCATGTAACATTTTATCCAAACAGAAGTACCATTTCATGATTTTGTGCTTACCTTTCTCCCTCTCCCCCAGTCCAGCGGAGAGATGCTCCTTCTGGCGCAGGAGAAGTGTGTGCTCCTCACTGAGCTCCTGGTGCTTTAGTCTGAGGCTGTCCAACTCTGCTGTGAGGCCCTGCATCTGGTGCAGCTTCACCTTCAGGTCCTCCAGTTCCTCCACTAGTCTCTCTTCTTGTGTCTCTTTCTGCTGCAAAGATTCCTCCAGGACTGCTTTCTCAGCCACATAGCCATCCAGAAGCCCTGAACACAAAACATATTTGAGATTCTCATGCTCAGCATTAAAACTAACTGTTATGTTTGAACTTCAGTGCAAGTGGTGAAGTTGGACCATAGACAGAGGAGCAAGGAGTGTTACCAGTCAGTGGATTAACTACTGTAACTTGGCAGCACGAGTCAAGTGAAGCAGAGCCAACAAGGATACAGTTCTCACCCTCTGCCTTGTGGAGCTCCAGCTGGAGTTGACTCTTCAGCCTCGCCTCCTGATCGAGCTGCTCCAATAGGAGCTTGTGCTGCTCAAGGAGATGGGCGGAGTCTTCTCTGCCCTGTGAGAACTTTTCCTCCAGAGAAAGGTGGAAATCATGAGTCTGCTCCAGCTGGAGAAAAAGAAACCCACAATTATTAGACAGCTAACAATACTATAAAAGAGAAAAAAAGCCATTTCAAAGAATGTCTTATGTGGTATAGATATTTAGTAGGTCTGTAGATCCTACCTGTGTGTTGGCCTGGTTCAGCAGCTCTAGCAGCGTGTCAACAGTGAGACGCAGTCTGTTGCAGGCATTCAGAGCTGCTTCTTCTCCCCCAGGATTGATCTGAGTGTCTGAAACCAGCAGGCTTTCACAAAGAAGGTGGGTCAGCTCCATGTCATCTGCAGACAAGTCTGCAACCGAAATACCTACAACAAGAACGAATCAAAATGAATTGTTGCATTAATGCAAATTGTACATTGAAGAAAAGCCCCCTGGTCTCTGAATAACTGAATCTAACAATGTAATTATTGCTATGTATATCTGCCATGCAACTTCAAAATCTAGAGGGTAACGGACCTGATTCTTGTGCATCTCTGTTCCCTGTTGAGCTCCTCTGGTGGGTCGACTGTTCAGATGTTTTGGCTCTGGCACTGATCTTTTGTCCAATCAGCTCTTCAGTTGCGATGGTGCTGCGAATCATCTCAATCAGCACCTTCCTCAGCTTTTCATTGGCCTGGTGCAGTTTACACCTGGGAACACAAAAGTGACACGTGAGACATGCACACAACTAGCAAAGTATATGAAATTGTTGGGAGACTAATTATTTGCTACATTTAACACACTGATGTTCCACTTCCCCCCAGTCAAGTCAAAACATTAGTTCAGAAACAATGCACACAACATAGAACACAAACAGAACATCACTTACCTTTCCTCTTTAGCAGTCTGTAAGTCGTCAGTGAGCATCTTTAGAAGGTTGCCTCCCTCCTGACTCTCTCGTTCCCTTCGTTGGAGGAGAGTGTCCAAAGTCTCCATCTCAGCACTCTTTCCCTTCAACTCTCCCTGCAGACAACCAACTTCTGCTCGCAGCTGGCAATTTGAAAAGAGAAACATGAAAAGAATGGCACACTGCCAGCTCATTCTGATTGTTCAAAAAGCATCAGATATTTCTCTTGTTACAGAAACCTGAAATAAATCACATGACTAGCAACATCCTATCAGTGCCAAGAGCATGACAAAAGCAGAAGGTATGTTCTGAATTCAAACCAAAATCAAAACCACATGTCTTGTCGGAGAAATCCAGTACCAATACACTCAATACCTGATCTGTAAGACAAAAACACATTCATCCTCTTCAAAAAAAAAAAAA